GCAAAACGCACCGGCCGAGCCGAGCCGAGCCGTGCCGAGCCGAGCCGAGTTCTAGTAGTTGCCATTTTCTTTTCATCTTCTTCCAGGTTCCTTGTTCCTGTTTCGATGGTAATATGCTGCGATATCATGTCGTATATATTTGGTTTCTTCTTTGGGAAGACACCACTGATTAAGTTGTCACCAAAGAAAACCTGGGAAGGCTTCATTGGTGGAGGAATCAGCACAGTGGTTTTTGGCTTAATTGTTAGTTTATCTGTTTAGTTTGTTCAACAGTATAATGTACCAGTTTCCATTATTTCATGATAATGCGACGGATTGTGGACCCCATAAATGCAAGATCAGGTCATCACTTGTCAGTGCAGATCTTAATCCTGATATCGTAGGCACGTAATAAAAATACACAGCAACATAGAGAGCTACAACTTCCCGAATTTGGCAGTTACCAATTACAGCGAATGAGTCGCTGAAGTTACTGATATTTTCTCCTATCTAAAAAAATGGCTGTGAAGCAACTTTTCTGTTAAACGGGATGAACTTTCCATAAATTTTTGCTGGGGCTGTGCGCTTCAAGCCTTCAATAAAGCGTTTTACTGGTCACTGGAAAGCGTGCTTTGAGTTTGTTCTTTCAGTTTCAGAATGGGATATGTAGTGCTGGCAGGACATTCGACTTGCTAGAGGCATAAAAATAGTATATCTTGTTTCAGCTATCATACGGTCTTCTTCGCCATCCGTTTTTTGTGTGTCCATTGGAAGATTATACGGTGGAGAACTACAACTGCACCATCCCGCCATCATTCGTTCTTCGGTGTGTTTATCAGTACTACAAGAAAGATATGATTGCCTAATTAGTGTGACTTGTTCTTTTTAATGCTAAGTATTCCTAATTTCTGTGGCAAGATAGAATCGCATTTTTCAGGGAATTTAGCGTTGGACGACCGTTATCCATCATTTTACGCCTGCTGAACAAATCTGAAAAGGTTCAAGTGTACCCCTTCCTTTTCCACACAATTGTCATGGGCTTATTCGCTTCAATACTTGGCCCTTTTGGTGGATTTTTTGCGAGTGGATTTAAACGAGCTTTCAAAATCAAGGTATTTTCTTATTAAAACTGCCCGAAACTGTAGTTATTGCCAAATTTTTGAATTTTATCAGCGAGATCAATCAAGAGTTCATGCTTATGGTTTTCGAATACTCTGCTACTTGCTTGCAGCTGTTCTCGGTCCTGCTTAAGGCCCCTTGCTTCGAATCACAATTTGCTACCCTCGACGTGCCTGGGCAAGCTGAGGTCATCTGAATAATCGCTCTCCCTCCTTTGCATCCATCTCGATGTTGCTTAGCGTGCAGAAGTTTAAAAAAATAAACAAAATGACCAGCATCTGTATGTAAATGGGCAGTTAGAATTTTGCGCAGGAAGTATGGCGAGTGCATTTTTCGTAGTTTCTTCTGGATGCACGGAAATTGGCTTCAAATTTAACTGTGAATACTTAACACTCCAGTGGGGCTACCAGATTATATGCCGCTAGGCCATGCTTGCGGATGGAAGAGGAGCGTTGAGAGTGCGTTTGGGAGTTGACTTTGTAAAAAGTTCCATCAGTTCATGTTTTCTAGGACTTTGGCGATGTGATACCCGGCCATGGTGGCCTGATGGATCGCTTTGACTGTCAGCTGCTCATGGGCACTTTTGTAAATGTCTACATACACACTTTTATCAAGTGAGTATCTTTACTGTAGTTGACTGGCTCACCGTGAACAGTTTCACGAGAACAATAAAGCTTTGTTACCGGTACTCTTCCTGATGCACAGTTTATGTTTTTGCAGAGTGCCGAATCCGTCGAAACTTTTGCAGCAAATTTTTTGGCTTCCAGCGGACGAACAACTTTTCATTTTCCGATCTCTGCATGAGCATTTGATTCATGAAGGACTGCTTGATGCTTGACCTGAACTTTGTTGAGAGCTGCTGTGGTTGCCCAATCTTTTTAAGACTAGTTACGGTTAGCGCCGTTGTGCAGATGAAGCTGAGATGAAATGAAGGTGGAACCTCACGGTTCACTTGCATAATTTCGGTTTGGGTTACGATATTTGTGTTCCGGTTTACTCGGATGTTGTCGTTGCTGCTGCTTTTACCTCCTTTATAGTTCACAACTTATGTGTAGTCTATATCGGCTTTGTTGTATCCATTGTTTTGTGAATATTGCATAGTTTAGCGCTCTGCAGCAGCAATCTTTGGTATTTTTTTCGCGTTTTCGGTTGGGTTACCATTCAAAATTTAGCTCGAGCTCAGTGCTGTTGTAAAATATTGCTTTTTGGACACAATCAGGTGTACCAGTTCGTAATGCTGTTGTTCATTTGTAGTTATTTCTCTCTCCATGTGTGTGTGTGCGTTTCTATGGAACAATGTACAGCTTTATTATTTGTTCATATCCACTGTGGTCACCGGTATACTGAAGAATTTTGTTTTCCGCGTTTTCTGCAACTTTGCACCTTCTCTTCTATGGAACATTCCCAAAAAGAAAACAGAGTGGAAAGCGTATTACTTTTCTACATCATTATCATTCAGTTTGTGCAACGTTTGGTCTCGCAATTGGCGCATTTTTTGTGCATATTTTCACCGTGACGTTGTAATTAGTTAATAACAGTGACAGTGTTTGTGATAAAAATTTTTAAGATTATTTTTACATTTCATTTGCGCATTAATCTTATTTTTCATGAAGCATAAGCGATATTTTGGTAATGAAACCTTGAATTTCCATTCCCAAGCTTTGCTCTGCAATACTTGCTAGCTTATTTTTAACGCGCTTTTTTTTT